GGTGAGTGGGGTGAGGGTGAGTGGGGTGAGGGGGGTGGTGAGTGGGTGAGGTGAGTGGGGGTGGTGAGTGGGGTGGTGAGTGGGGTGGTGAGTGGGGTGAGTGGGGTGAGGGGGTGGTGAGTGGGTGAGTGGGGTGGTGAGTGGGGTGGTGAGTGGGGTGAGGGTGAGTGGGGTGGTGAGTGGGGTGAAGGGGTGGTGAGTGGGGTGGTGAGTGGGGTGGTGAGTGGGGTGAGGTGAGTGGGGTGGTGAGGGGGGTGAGGTGAGTGGGGTGGTGAGTGGGGTGAGGTGAGTGGGGTAAGGTGAGTGGGGTGGTGAGGGGGGTGGTGAGGGTGAGGGTGAGTGGGGTGGTGAGTGGGGTGAGGTGAGTGGGGTGAGTGGGGTGGTGAGGGGGTGGTGAGTGGGTGAGGTGAGTGGGGTGGTGAGTGGGGTGGTGAGTGGGGTGAGGGTGAGTGGGGTGGTGAGTGGGGTGAGGGGGGTGGTGAGTGGGTGAGGTGAGTGGGGTGGTGAGTGGGGTGAGGGTGAGTGGGGTGAGGGTGAGTGGGGTGGTGAGTGGGGTGAGGGGGGTGGTGAGTGGGTGAGGTGAGTGGGGTGGTGAGTGGGGTGGTGAGTGGGGTGATGGTGAGTGGGGTGGTGAGTGGGGTGAGGGGGTGGTGAGTGGGTTGAGGTGAGTGGGGTGGTGAGTGGGGTGGTGACGGTGAGGTGAGGGTGAGTGGGGTGGTGAGTGGGGTGAGGGGGTGGTGAGTGGGGTGAGGGTGAGTGGGGTGAGGTGGGGTGGTGAGTGGGTGAGGTGGAGTGGGTGGTGAGTGGGGTGGTGAGTGGGGTGGTGAGTGGGGGTGAGGGTGAGTGGGGTGGTGAGTGGGGTGAGGGGGTGGTGGTGAGTGGGTGAGGTGAGTGGGTGGTGAGTGGGTGAGGGTGAGTGGGGTGGGAGTGGGGTGAGGGGGGTGGTGAGTGGGTGAGGTGAGTGGGGTGGTGAGTGGGGTGGTGAGTGGGGTGAGGGTGAGTGGGGGTGGTGAGTGGGGTGAGGGGGGTGGTGAGTGGGTGAGGTGAGTGGGGTGGTGAGTGGGGTGGTGAGTGGGGTGGTGAGTGGGGTGAGGGGGTGGTGAGTGGGTGAGGTGAGTGGGGTGGTGAGTGGGGTGTGTGAGTGGGGTGAGGGTGAGTGGGGTGGTGAGTGGGTGAGGTGAGTGGGGTGGTGAGTGGGGTGAGGGTGAGTGGGGTGGTGAGTGGGTGAGGGGGTGGTGAGTGGGTGAGGTGAGTGGGGTGGTGAGTGGGGTGGTGAGTGGGTGAGGGTGAGTGGGGTGAGGGGGTGGTGAGTGGGTGAGGTGAGTGGGGTGGTGAGTGGGGTGGTGAGTGGGGTGAGGGTGAGTGGGGTGAGGGGGTGGTGAGTGGGTGAGTGGGTGGTGAGTGGGGTGGTGAGTGGGGTGAGGGTGAGTGGGGTGGTGAGTGGGGTGAAGGGGTGGTGAGTGGGGTGGTGAGTGGGGTGGTGAGTGGGGTGAGGTGAGTGGGGTGGTGAGGGGGGTGAGGTGAGTGGGGTGGTGAGTGGGGTGAGGTGAGTGGGGTAAGGTGAGTGGGGTGGTGAGGGGGGTGGTGAGTGGGGTGGTGAGTGGGGTGAGGGGGGTGGTGAGTGGGTGAGGTGAGTGGGGTGGTGAGTGGGGTGGTGAGTGGGGTGAGGGTGAGTGGGGTGGTGAGTGGGTGAGGTGAGTGGGGTGGTGAGTGGGGTGAGGGTGAGTGGGGTGGTGAGTGGGGTGAGGGGGTGGTGAGTGGGTGAGGTGAGTGGGGTGGTGAGTGGGGTGGTGAGTGGGGTGAGGGTGAGTGGGGTGAGGGGGGGTGGTGAGTGGGTGAGGTGAGTGGGGTGGTGAGTGGGGTGGTGAGTGGGGTGGTGAGTGGGGTGAGTGGGGGTGAGGGGGTGGTGAGTGGGTGAGTGGGGTGGTGAGTGGGGTGGTGAGTGGGGTGAGGGTGAGTGGGGTGGTGAGTGGGGTGAAGGGGTGGTGAGTGGGGTGGTGAGTGGGGTGGTGAGTGGGGTGAGGTGAGTGGGGTGGTGAGGGGGGTGAGGTGAGTGGGGTGGTGAGTGGGGTGAGGTGAGTGGGGTAAGGTGAGTGGGGGTGGTGAGGGGGGGTGGTGAGGGTGAGGGTGAGTGGGGTGGTGAGTGGGGTGAGGTGAGTGGGGTGAGTGGGGTGGTGAGGGGGTGGTGAGGGGGTGAGGTGAGTGGGGTGGTGAGTGGGGTGGTGAGTGGGTGGTGAGGTGAGGTGAGTGGGGTGGTGAGTGGGGTGGTGAGTGGGGTGGTGAGGGGGTGAGGGGGTGGGGAGTGGGGTGGTGAGTGGGGTGGTGAGAGGGTGAGGGTGAGTGGGGGGTGGTGAGTGGGGTGAGGTGGAGTGGGGTGAGGTGGTGAGTGGGTGGTGAGTGGGGTGAGGTGAGTGGGGTGGTGAGGGTGAGGTGAGTGGGGTGAGGGGTGAGTGGGGTGAGGTGAGTGGGGTGGTGAGTGGAGTGGTGAGGGGGGGGGTGAGGTGAGGGTGAGTGGCGTGGTGAGGGGGTGGTGAGGGTGAGGTGAGGGTGAGTGGGGTGAGGTGAGGGTGAGTGGGGTGGTGAGGGGGGTGGTGAGGGGGTGGTGAGTGGGGTGAGGTGAGGGTGAGTGGGGTGAGGTGAGTGGGGGTGATGAGTGGAGTGGTGAGGGTGAGTGGGGTGAGGTGAGGGTGAGTGGGGGTGAGGTGAGTGGGGTGGTGAGTGGAGTGGTGAGGGGGGGGTGAGGTGAGTGGGGTGGTGAAGGGGTGAGGGTGAGTGGGGTGGTTGAGTGGGGTGAGGTGAGTGGGGTGAGGGGGTGGTGAGGGTGAGTGGGGTGGTGAGGGGGTGAGGGTGAGTGGGGTGGTGAGGGGGTGGTGAGGGGGTGAGGGGGGGGGGTGAGGGTGAGTGGAGTGAGGTGAGTGGGGTGGTGAGGGGGTGAGGGTGAGTGGGGTGAGGTGAGGGGGTGAGGGTGAGTGGGGTGAGGGGGGTGGTGAGGGTGAGGTGAGGGTGAGTGGGGTGGTGAGGTGAGAGGGTGAGGGAGGGTGAGTGGGGTGAGGTGAGGGTGAGTGGGGGGGTGAGGGTGAGGTGAGGGTGAGTGGGGTGGTGAGGTGAGAGGGTGAGTGGGGTGGTGAGGGTGAGTGGGGTGGGGTGGTGAGGGTGAGTGGGGTGGTGAGGTGAGAGGGTGAGTGGGGTGGTGAGGGTGAGTGGGGTGGTGAGGTGAGAGGGTGAGTGGGGTGGTGAGGGTGAGTGAGGTGAGGGTGAGTGAGGTGAGGGGGAGTGGGGTGGTGAGGGGGTGAGGGTGAGTGGGGTGGTGAGGTGAGAGGGTGAGTGAGGGTGAGTGAAGTGAGGGGAGGGTGAGTGAGGGTGAGTGGAGTGAGGGTGAGTGAGGAAGGTGAGGGTGAGTGGGGGAGGGTGAGGTGAGGGTGATTGAGAAGAGAGAGGGGTGAGGGTGAGGAGAAGGGGGGTGAGGAAGGTGAAGGTTGAGTAAGGGTGAGAGGGGTGTGAGGGTAAGGTGAGGGTGATAAGAAGGTGAGAGTGAGGTGATGGTGAGGAGAGAGTGGTGAGTGTTAGACTGAGAGGGACGTTGAGACAGGAGTGAGTGAGTGAGTTGCGTGTGAGGGGAGCCGGGTGAGAGTGGCGACTCACGCAGCGAGTTCGCTGCGTGGACTCTGCACGGAGTTCTGTGTCATCTGTTGGCACTGCTCCCCTCCCCCCCATGTACTAAGTTCCATGCCTCGGGGAGATGTTAACTACCTCGCCTGGTGTACAGGAGGTCGTGGGTTCGATCCCGACCCTGATGACGCCTGCTGCTGCTGTATATTTGGAGTTTGCGTGTCTCTCTCTCTCTCATCATCATCATGGTGGCTTGGAGATGTTAACTACCTCGCTTGGTGTACAGAAGGTCGTGGGTTCGATCCTGACCCTGATGACGCCTGCTGCTGCTGTATATTTGGAGTTTGCGTGTCTCTCTCTCTCATCATCATCATGGTGGCTTGGAGATGTTAACTACCTCGCTTGGTGTACAGAAGGTCGTGGGTTCGACCCTGACCCTGATAGATAGATAGATCGTTTATTGTCATTGTCACCAGTACAACGAAATTTAAAATGCTCACCAGTCAGGGCATCATTCATAAATTTAAATTAAATAAACAAGAAAATAAAAATAAAATTAAATGAAAGATAATCAATTTATACTATATATAAAAACAGCCCAAGTATACCCACATACCCACATAAGGTTACATTTTGTCATTGCACATCTCTATTTCACAATCAATTGTAAACACTATTACTTAATAATTAATTAGCATTATTGAGTGTGGTGATCGCTGTAGGATAAAAGCTCTGTTTGAATCTGTTTGTCCTTGTTTTGACTGATCTGAATCGTCTGCCTGAAGGAAACAGCTCAAACAGTGAGTGTCCAGGGTGAGAAGAGTCCTTTATAATGTTCTGTGCTTTTTTGATGCAACGTGAACTGTGTAGTTCTTCCAGTGTGGGGAGATGGCAGCCAGCGATCTTTTGGGCTGTGTTGATGACCCTCTGGAGCGCTTTCCTCTGAGCCACTGTGCAGCTGGTGTACCATACACAGATGCAGTATGTAAGAATGCTCTCGATGGAGGCTCGGTAGAAGGACACCAGCAGTTTCTGTGTGATGTTATTATTCCTGAGAATTCTCAGGAAGTAAAGTCTCTGCTGGGCCTTTTTCAGAAGCTCAGTGCTGTTGGCGCTCCAGGTCAGGCCCTCCCCAATGTGGACTCCCAGGAAGCAGAAGTCTGCCACCCTCTCCACACAGTCCCCGCTGATGATTAGTGGTGGAGTGTCCGTTTTCTTTTTCCTGTAGTCTATTATGAGCTCCTTGGTCTTTGCGGTGTTAAGGAGCAGGTTGTTGCCCCTGCAGTATGCTGTCAGCCGCTCCACCTCGTCCCTGTAGGCAGACTCATCCCCCCCAGTGATGAGCCCCACCACTGTGGTGATGACGCCTGCTGCTGCTCTATATTTGGAGTTTGCGTGTCTCTCTCATCATCATCATGGTGGCTTGGAGATGTTAACTACCTCGCCTGGTGTACAGGAGGTCGCGTGGATTTTTCTCCGGGTCCTCCGGTTTTTCTCTCTCTACATTTAGAATGAACACGATGCGTTTTGAGTGTTAGGCTGCTATACATTTTCACGCGATAAGCCACTTAGCTGAGCTCTCATTTGTGGCCAGGTTGCTTCTGAAATAAGTAATATTTAAAAATACTTTTTTAGATTTTTGTATGATAAAATATGGTATTGTCATCAGTATGACATAAGTATGCCAAGTTTGCACTCGATACCACATTGGGCAGTGGGTTAATATTGAGTTACAAGATTTGAGGATACGACAACAACAACAGACAGAGTGAGCTAAATAAAAGCGTGTAATAAAAATAGCTTGAAACCTCCGTGGGCCTTAACTGGTAAAATAAAAAATAGTTTTAATAATTTTAGTTTAGCTGTTGGGAACTCTTCCTTCCTACCGAGTTGCACATCTATACACGCACTATTTACCGTACATGTTTTATTTTTAGCATTGGGTTATATCTGTAATCTTTGTGAACAATTTACCGCATGCACAAGTGATGTGATAATCTTCTTGGTTCTTTCGGTAAAGTGACTTTACCGAAAGAACCAAGAAGATGAATCCCTGCAGTCACGAAAACTTTAAATCGAAATTTGATGTGATAATATTGAGTGGCAGATTTGTGCCAGAAAAGTGACACATGTTAACGAAAAATAAACTGACGTGACTTTGTGTGCCCTGCAGCTGTGTGTGTCTCTGGTCCTGGGCCTCCCCTAGGACGACTCAGCCTTGAATGAGTACGTGGTGCAGTGGGTTCACATCAACAGCACTTGCCCTCAACAGCCTGCTCATAGCTTTTACGGGAGGTCGATCATCTTCTTGGTTCTTTCGGTAAAGTCACGTAGAATGAAAATAATAAAATAATAAAAAGAAAACATCATAAAATAATTCTCACGACGTTTCGGCCACAACGCAAGCAGCCGTCCTCAGGTGAAGAAACAGGTCTGTCGGGAAGACAGACTCAGGTGAAGAAACAGGTCTGTCGGGAAGACAGACTCAGGTGAAGAAACAGGTCTGTCGGGAAGACAGACTCAGGTGAAGAAACAGGTCTGTCGGGAAGACAGACTCAGGTGAAGAAACAGGTCTGTCGGGAAGACAGACTCAGGTGAAGAAACAGGTCTGTCGGGAAGACAGACTCAGGTGAAGAAACAGGTCTGTCGGGAAGACAGACTTAGGTGAAGAAACAGGTCTGTCGGGAAGACAGACTCAGGTGAAGAAACAGGTCTGTCGGGAAGACAGACTCAGGTGAAGAAACAGGTCTGTCGGGAAGACAGACTCAGGTGAAGAAACAGGTCTGTCGGGAAGACAGACTCAGGTGAAGAAACAGGTCTGTCGGGAAGACAGACTCAGGTGAAGAAACAGGTCTGTCGGGAAGACAGACTCAGGTGAAGAAACAGGTCTGTCGGGAAGACAGACTCAGGTGAAGAAACAGGTCTGTCGGGAAGACAGACTTAGGTGAAGAAACAGGTCTGTCGGGAAGACAGACTCAGGTGAAGAAACAGGTCTGTCGGGAAGACAGACTCAGGTGAAGAAACAGGTTTGTCGGGAAGACAGCATCTGAAGGGAGGTCGATCTTCATGTCTCTGTGCACCTGTGCTTTGCGTGCACAGGTGTCGGTGAGCAAACCATGGCGGGCGCGGAGGGCACGCTGTCGAAGATGTCTCCCGCGGTCCGCCACTTCGTGGAGGAGATGCTGAGGCACGGCCGCGTCGGCCTGGGCGCCCCAACAACACTACGCGTCACCGACCTCAAATCCGGGTTCGGCTCCCGCAACGGGGCGCCCAGGGCCGCCTCCCTCACCTGCACCCACACAGGCAGCGTCCTCCGCACGCCACCGTCGTTGAAAAGCCTCGGCCATTAACCTTTACGTTAATTACGTACAGGTCAATTCGTAACCGGCCAGCTTACAAGTTTCAAGTTTATTTTGTTTTCCGTGCGAGCTCGCAGAGGGACCGAGATAGTCTAACTTGCACGAGTGAACTGCGTGGCTCAGCAATCGGAAACTTGCGAGTTTAAATGCTGGTAATAGGTTTTTACCCTTTAACTGGCAACAAAACTGACGGCTTTATACACAGGATCATGTTTGCATTAACCACGACACTTGCGGTCAAAATGCAAACAAAAACACAACTCTGATAATGTATGCACTGTCCTTGATGTTGATTGGTCCACATCCGAGACAGCTTTTCTTAGAGCCTAGTCTCACATGGTGTTGGACCAGATGACACCAAAAGGCGCACAACTCAAAGACAACGCACCATCAGAGTATTGAGAGCTCGGGGTAAGCATTTACATTGAGACCTCTTTTGCCAGTAGCAACATATAGTAATAGGTGTTTACCCTTTTAACTGGCAACAAAACTAACACCTTTAAATTGCTGGTTCGAGTTTTCCTCTGGGGATCAAAACATTCAGTTCTGTACCACTTTTGTGGGGAAGTCAACAGTGGTTGTCCTTTGAATGTACTTTCCCTGCCATAGTAATGTGTTAGTTTCCACCACTGGCTCAGGACTTGAACAGCAGATGAGCACACCACCTCAATGTTCATTCAAGCAGAAAACCACTTGGACTTACTTAGCTTTTAATTTACGCACACTGACACTGAGACGTGTGTTGTTGCTGAGGATTCTGGGCCTTGGTTTCTTTCAGGTGTCCCTCGCTGACCCCATCCCCGTGCTGTGATCGGTTCAAGCTGCACATTCCCTACGCCGGAGACACCATCAAGTGTAGGTGCCGTGATTGAACCGCTCCACTTCTACCTCCACTGTGTGGCCGACGGGAGCTTTTGGGTGAAACACGTAGTCGGAGTAGGAGGCTTTCACGACCAATATTATCCATAATAGAGGGGATTTTCTTTTGATTGGATCGCGTAATTATAAATGTGTCGTTAAACCCGCGCACCACACAGCCAATCGGTAAGGTTTCTCACGTAAACGAAACATGCAAATTAGTTACTAGTGCAGCGCACCGGTTGCGTGTGGGAGAGTAAACCCACAACATTTACAATTTGAGTACAGTGACGTTTCGTCGGTAATTATAACCGGCCTCATCAGGCCACGGCCAGAATTGTGGATAAATCCTCTTCCTGTTTCGGTCTTGATTAGGAGGGTAAATGTGCGATTTTGGAATACCAGTAGCAAGTTCGGAGACAGCAGCTGTCAAATTAATGAAATACATTTAAATATATTCGTTGGTTTGAGCGGAATACATACAACACAGATATCAGAAACTCTCCACGTGCTAAACATTTCAATGAAGTCTTGCATCAAATATAGTTTTTTGTTTTTAAACGGTCCCACCTTATCCCACTCCCATCGCAATACGTATTTTCGTACGTCGCGTAATCTGCGCGCGCCTTGAGGCGTTGCGTTGTGGAACCGCCGCATCGGTCCCACCCAATACTTTGCAGCGCTGTGTTGGGTGACACAGTCTCGTGTCGGTGTCGCCGCTGTGTGCAGGGGACGTCATATTCAACCACGAGTATCCGGACATTCCACCCGACTTCATGTTCGGAGAGGATACCGACTTCTTCCCGGACCCTGACGAACTTCCCGTGCGTTTCCTGCTTCTCGCAGTCACGATATGGTCACCCGCTGCAAGACATTGCTTCCTGCTGCTGCTACTGTTGTTGCTCCGACTGCTGCTTTTATTGCTGCCACCGCTCCCTCTTTCATTTACTGCTGCTGTTGCCTCTGCTTATGCTGTTCCTTCTTGAACTTTTTTGGATTATATTTATATTTCTCCTTTCGCTGCTTCTTCTTCTGCTGCTGTTACAGCTGTTATTACGGCTGCTTGTGCACCTGTTGCCGTTACTACGATTTCTGCTGCTGCTGTTGCCTCTGCTGCTTCTGCCATTGTTACTGCTAGAGACGTTGCTCCTGCTAGAGACGTTGCTCCTGCTGTTCCTGCTGTTCCTGCGTCTGCCGCATTGCGTCCTCGTTGCTTGTTGTTGCTGCCACCGTGTGCGAGTGCACAGCACCTGCAGGAGTGGCGGTCCCAGGACCCCGAGGCCCTTCTGCTGGTGCTACAGGAGCTGCTCGCGCAGTTCCAGGTGCACCAGCGCGAGCGCTTGCGCGACAACTCGCGCCTCATGTTCGAGTACAACTCGCTGTCCGAGCAGACGGACTACACGGTGCACATGGAGGTGCACGTGGGCAGACACACCGCTTGGGTAAGCCTCTTGCGTTCTCCTCGTGTGTGAGTGAGTGTGAGTGAGTGCGGGGAGCGGTGTGGTGCTGGTCACCCACCCCCTCGTATGCAGTACCGGCCTTAATAGGTGCTCGCTAACAGCACTTGCCTCAAACGTTTGTTAAGGCTATCTTTGGGGGAGCGGTGGCAGAGTGGTGAGCGCACCGTGCCACGAACCCGGCGACCCGAGTTCCTGCTCACGGCCAATGTCAGTGACGATTATCTGAACTGGTCCTGGGCCTCCCCTCGGTCGCCTCAGCCTTCAAACGGGCTCCGAACCTCTTCTGGGCTCTTTTTAAGTTGAATGCATTTTAGGTGCAGAGCAGAGGTCGCAACCGGGTACCCGATACCCGTACCCTACCCGATACCCGGCTACCCGTACCCGGCTGGGTACGGGTACCCGTTTGCGACCCTGGTGCAGCCGGGTACGGGTACGGGTAAGCCGTGAGTCACTGGTGAGTAACTGTTTGTCACTCATTTCCCAACGTCTTGTCTCTTCTCACAATTCAAGTTCCTAGAATCAACCCACCCGCGCCTGCAACATGGCTTCATCCCAGAGGTCGCAATCAGGTACCCGATACCCGTACCCTACTCGTACCCGGCTGGGTACGGGTAGGGTACGGGTACGGCCGGGTATGGGTACGGGTACCCATTTGCGACCCTGGTGCAGCCGGGTACGGGTAAGGAATCAAAACCCGTTTGCGACCTCTGGTGCTGAGACGAGGCTTGTAAACAATCTGTGGGTTCAGCCCCACCACTTGCATCTGGCTAGCCTCAATATGTGCTCACTGACAGAGGGGGGCGTCTTTGTCTTAGTTACCACTCGTCCGTCCTCAACTCTGGCCTTGGTTCTTCGCGCAGGATGGCGAATGCTGCGTGAGATTCCTACTGCGGCTTCCAGTCGACTTCAGCCTCATCCCGCCATACCTGCTCAAGGTGAGGCTCCGAGCGGGCAGAGCCAACCCCCAGGGGCTGTACATTGCGGTCAGTCACAGAGTATAGAGTCTCAAGGGCCATTAGGAGTGGCCCAATTGTGACTGCAGTGAAATGCAATCTGTCGCTCACAGCTCCCCTCATCGCCCAATGCACACGTTTGCAAGAGGTGCGGAATCAATAATACGACCTCAGATGCCATCGAATTGCCTTCCATACTCGACATATCATTGTAAAGTCAGTGGCTGTATTCACACACTCGCGGAGTGCACTTTCCTACACACACTGCTTGCAGGGAATTGTTAGTAGAATGGCATTCAATTTTTTTTTTTAAATCAAAACCAACTTTCATTTGATCTTTCTTTTTGCACCGTCCATAATTATTGGGCTGTGAATATCACCACACTCTACCTGAGAGCACGGTTGGGTGGCTGTCTGGATTGAAACCCAGGATCTCAGCCGTATTGGCTTAAAGCACTGACCCCACGAGTCTCGTGGCAACTTGTCAACCGATGCGATGAAGTCAAACCCCCGAGTTGAGGCCACAGCCATAGTCCTCGTGTAACTCTGACCCAGCCCGCTGAACGCGTGACGCAGGATCCCCTGGTGGACCCGGGGGAGGATGTGGCGCTGCTGCTGGTGACGTTTGAAAACACGGAGGCCACCAAGGTGTTCCCCAAGCTCTACCTGTCGCCTCGCATCGAGCAGTGAGGGTTGCACACGTGCCATCAGCCTGGGGTTGACAGCGGTACACTCCGCTGCTCCGGACGCGAATATCTGTCTTCACCACCTGAATGTGAAATTGTAGTTGTTGCTCTGCATTTACATCAGCCATATGAAAGAAGACAGTTGGGGTGGGAGAACCCTTTCCAACTGAGGGCCGAGGATGATTTTCAATGCCTTTTGGCGATGCCGCACATGAGTCAACATGCAACCTTGGTCACGCTAGGACGGTATATTGCCCGCGCGATCGGAAGCACTTGTAATGCCACATGTGACTGGGCATGCTAAATTCCAAGCGCGCCAATTGTTTGGTATGAGCCAGCGCTGCAAGCAAGTGAACTCTTCGCTAACGCCGCCTCTGTGCTCTCTGCTCTTCAGTGCCCTGGGAGGTTCCTCCGCTTTCCATATCCCCAACTTCCCCAGCGGAGGATGCCTTCTGGACTACGTTCCACAGGTGTGCCAGCTCCTCACCAGCAAGGTAACAGCAGCACAAGCCAATTCGCCGGCTCATGCGCCGGGTTTCCCTTAAGAGAAACGACTCCACTTGTTTGGAATTGAAATTGTTTTTTTGAATGCGCGTACAAGATGTGTACGGTGTGGAGTGGTGGTGCAGTGGTTGGCGCACTTCCATGAACCCCGTGACCTGAGTTTGATTTCCATTTGCGGCAAACGGTGGACTCGCTTAGCTACGGGTCACCAGCGTGGGGAAGTATGGTCAGCCCCCATGACCGAAAGGCATGAGGAGGCCCTCACGAAGCGGTGTAATATTAAGTTGAGTAACTTTTTTCAATAGAATTGTTTCTCCTTGGCTTAAGTATGCTGTGATGTATGCATTGTTTTTACGATAGCTTCTTGATAAGACCTTTCTGGATGCAATTCATCATGCGGAGTTTATTTTGCTGTTGTGTCTCATTCACTGCACCCTGAGCTGCAGATTTTACTGCAGTTTTATCTGTATTGTTCACCAGAAAAAACGGGATTAACAATGCCAGCAATTCTAGATTTGAAGTTTTCGTGACTGCAAGGATTTTTTTCGGTAAATTCACGTAGGTGACAAATTAAAATAAATTAAAATGAAAACAAATCAATTAAATCACGACGTTTCGGAAGCAACACAAGTAACCGTCATCAGGTGTTGACTGCTCCAGCAAAATTACTGAGGCGTGTGAAGAGAGTTATTAAGAGACAACGTGTTTATTTCGGGTGTTAGGGGGGGGGGGATGTGGCAGGCCGTGTGGACGGTCGGGCAGGGGATTAGCATGAGTTAAGCCGATAGACAACCATCTGTATTCTTTTGTGATGTCAGGGGAGGGGAGTTTGTGCATGAGTGCAGTACCTGCATGACGAGTGATGGTGGTGTATCAGGCTGGGAGTAAAAAACTGGAAGAAATGGATATGGCTGTAAAATTATAAGGCAGCTAAAGTTTGACTTGGTTTATGAGATCTTTCCAATGATTGCTTAATTGTTTTCATTTTAATTTACTTTATATTTTTTACCCACGTGACTTTACCGAAAAAACCAAAGAGTAACAATGCCAGCAATGTTAAGAATGTGGATGTTCTACACATGAACTGCACATTCTTACCCAGACTTCAAGAGGCTAAAGAAGAAGCAGCCCAAAAACAAACATCTCTCATCTTACGAACTGTGTCTAGCATGGGTGTTTTGGGCTGCTCTACAAAGGTTGAAAGCTTCTTTAATTCAACAACAGACTGTAAAGTTGCAATCAAAATAGTTATCGTGGCACTCGACGTTATGCCACTCGCGTTACGATGCAACGCTTCAGCCATTCTTCTAAGGCCACTGCCGGAGGACCGGGCCTCCCCATACCTGGTCGTTTGACCATACTTCACCACGCTGGTCAGCTTGCGTTGGTGAACGTGGGGAGCATAGAGATACGGTACACCAAATGGATTTTAGTGCGTTGACTTTTGCTGCCTACCACGTAGCCACGCAAGCAGGCTGCTATATTCAGCAGCTACGCATGGTGGTCAACCGTGCCAGTGCTATCCAGACTCGATCCTGTCTGGATTTCGAGATATGACGAGTTCAGGTCCATTCTGCTGGGGATTGGTCATAGGTGTACAATGCTCTTCAAGCAAATTGCATTTATTTTCTTGGTTTGTGTCTTCCTTTAGACATTGACTGACTGGCACCGATTGAGTCAACTTGTCTTTACACGGTTGCCCGGAATGTCCTGTGTGTGTGCGTGTGCGTGCGCAGGTGCAGTACATCACACAGGGCTACCAGAAGCGCAGAGAATACATTGCGGCGTTCCTCAGCCACTTCGGAGAGTAAGACAGCCGCCGTTGTTCCGTCACTCGCGAAACATCCACACTCTTCTGTCCCCTCGCCGTGTACAGTGGCACAGGGTACTGGGGCGAGGTGGTGGCTACGATGCCCGTGAGCTGGCGCTTTGGGAGCAGGGTCGTAGGATCGCGCAGAAATCGGTACGGGCGTGCATGTGTAGGGGTGTTACGGGAGGGCGAACAAACACACCAGGGGTGGTTATGCCCGCACGCGGAAGGATGCTTACATCCACGTCCGCATCGTTTAGCCTGGGGGGCTGAAACGGCGCTATGATCCCCCACAGCCCCACCCCTTTGGGGAGGGAGTTGCTATATAAGGCGGTGAGCCGGTGGGCTCGGGGTTCAGTGTTTAGCTTAAGCCAGTGAAGAAGGAAGACCGGCTAGATAGGCCCTGGGACTCCCCTGGATCGCTGTCCTTCTAAGGACCGACCAGGGCAAGTCAGTGGCGTGGCCCTGAGAGCCCAGAGCCGATGCTCTTGTAAGAGCCGGTCTGGTGACTAAGGGTGCCGTGATCCTAGCTTGGCCAGAGCTGGATCAGCTAGCCTCCCCTAGCTCTCGAGTGGAGGACCTGGGAGTAGGCTAGCCGGGATAGAGATAGTGGGATCTCCCTGTTAGATGGGTGAAGGGGCCGATACCCCTTCGAGTGTTGTATACCTTGGTCCTGTATTGAGTGAAACGTTTAATAAATAAGTGTGCCTCCGACTACGTCAGTCCAAGTCTCATTGAACCTAATGCACATGTGTTTGTATGTGTAATTGACCGGTGATAAAATGCAACCACAATGCTGAGTTGCGGACGCTAACATGCTATGCCTGTCCGCGCGCGTGTGAACTGTCGGTCAGGTCAATTGCAGAGTATGACGCTGAGGGCTTCACCAAGATCAGCCTCCTCCTGGAGGGCCTGGAGTTCTTCTTCATGGTTCACAGTGAGTGGGCGAGTGCTGTGAGCGAGTCGGCACACACACACATAGTTCCTGGGAGTGGCCGTGTAGAATGACAGTAGGTGATTACATCTTCTGGGTTCTTTCGGTAAAGTCACGTAGAAGGGAAATAATAATAATAAAAATAAAACATAATAATATAATAAAAATATATAATAATGTATTATTTTATTATGTTTTATTTTTATTATTTTATTATTTCCCTTCTACGTGACTTTACCGAAAGAACCAAGAAGATGAATCCCTGCAGTCACGAAAGCTTTAAATCGAAATAGGTGATTACAGTACTGTTGTACTGTTGTTCGTCAAGGAATTGCCTTTTCACCGTCAGCTCTTAAAAACGGTGTGTGATTTCGCTTGCACACGTTGGCCACATGGGGCAGTTTCCCCATCATCGGTTGTCAAAGCAGTGGTTTTGTCCTCATTGCCATCGTCGTACTATATAATCTGCTGATTTATACTACAGGGAATGTATTATTTAACATTGATTTATTGTTGTGCAATGCTTCTGAGGTCTCATGTGACAGTTCTTTATTCTAATTTCTATTTGCTTCGTAGCCATACTTTATTACATATAGGCATAGCTTTTATCATTTTTACGACCAAGGTCACTCTGGCATCTTGAGTGCCCTCACCTGGTTACACGAAAGAAACTTGACGCCTAACCCATTCGGTGCACATCTGTGTGTGTGCGCACACCTGCGCACGTGCGTGCATACGCGTCCTCGTGTGTCTTCCCCCGCTGTAGTCGAGCTGCCATTGTACTTTCCACGCGACCAGCCGACTTTCACCTTCCAGTCCGTGTACCAGCACGGCACCACGGCACAGCCCTTTCTGCAGGTGCAGAAGTCGTACCCGTACAGCCCGCGCTGGGATGGCAACGAGATGGCCAAGCGAGCCAGGTGACGCGTCTGATTCTGCGGTGGACGCATACTCGTTCACGTGTTTATATACACGCTCCTCGATCACTCGCTCAACAACTAACTCATTCACACATTCATACACTCACTGACTTACCTACTCACTCATACACTCACTAACTTACCGACTCACACACTGACTACTCTTACGCTCACATTCATACACTCACCCCCCCCTCATTTGTTCACTCATTCATTAATTCACACATTCATATACTGTCCATTGCCCTGAATACTTCACTCACAAACCTACTAATTAACTTTTGTCAAATTCATACTGACCAATTAGTTTACGCACTGCAGTATTTCATTTCAGCTACTCCTTTATATCTTCATATTTACCAACCCACTCACTGCAACATTCACTCTCTCGTTCACTCACGTATGAATTAATAATCTCAGTTTCTCATTCATTCATATGCTTACACACACACCCGCTCACTCGCTCAGAGCACAACACATTTTTCAGATTGCATCTTTAAACGGGATATGCGTACACTGCACTGATTACACGTAGACTGTGCCATGTTGGAGAGGCAAGCTTTGCAGACCTGAAGACAAACGTGTCTTCCGTACGCACAGGGTCTACTTTGAAGAATTTTCGCCTCAATTCCGAGAAGCGGCCCTGGCGAACGGAAAGCCTTGAGCAGAGGCCGTGGGGGACTCCTTCTTCGTCGCAAGCCGGCCACTCGACGGGTTCTACCCCCTCGCACTCCGAGCCCTCTCTAGCGACAACTCCTTAACGAAGGCTCGTTAGTGAGCGGCTCGCTAGTGGTGCTTAAAAAGTTATGGGTTGATTTTGAAAACCTTGGCTGTATACAGTTTTTTTTTTACTTGTGATCGCCCTTCTTGGGGGTGGTTTTCACTGGGTCCGTTAGACAAGTTTTCACGGCTTACTTTCAGCCGGGTCTGTTAGGGTCAGCACCCCGCAAAATATTTCTGCACCTGGCAAATCGCATCAAGTATATCTCTCACTATGTGTTGCTCTGGCTACTTACACGGTGCCTACTCCCAGTCTACCAGTGACCGGGGAAAATATTTAGTGTGGAATTAAGCCCCTGGGGCACAATGATATGTAGGGTCTGATGATACCTGTGCAATGTGATTTCAGGTGTCTGCTCTTGCACTCCAGGCACCTTTGCCATACGTGACGGTCTCAGATGACGCTTACAATGGATCTCTTAGTCTTGCTTGGGTAAACAACTAGACGAACGCTAGAGGGGTATGTTATACAGATATATTTTTTTATATTCTTTCAGTCAATTTTATTCCCATTGTGCTATCTTCGCAATGTCACGAGGCGAAGATTCATAAAATTTTGGAACTCTCGCAGAGGAGTGATTCAACCCACGTTACGTAATTTACAGAATATTATCTCGCTGAGCCGCTTCTGAGAAGACATTTTCCCACACTTATCCACGCTGTGTCTCTGTCATCCACTATATGTTCCTACACGTGCTCTTTCTCAGACCTGGATTGTTGCCAAACTAAGTGAAAACCAGATCAGATTTGTGTGCTGTCATTTCTTCATAGACGGTAGAAATCTGTATCCGAAATGAGTGTCCCTGCATCAACTGGAGCATTGTAAACAAACCCTAGGTTATCCATTATGTTCTAAGAATGTCTGGCACTTTCTTGACGGTTTTTTTTACTTAAATGAAGGTACTATCAAAGTATGTGGTGAGAGGAAACAACCTGTTTAAAGCCCTTTTTGTGATGGTTAGTCCTAACGCTGTGCGAACAGTTTCTATATTGTACTGTATTGTATGGACCACTTTTGTGTTGCTTACTGAAATCAATTGTACACGAGGCGTGTAATATCAATAAATAACTTGCCTATGGTATTATTCCCTCTGGCTTTTGTGTTTTTTTATTAATGGGTGATTACTTGCATCATTAACAGAGATTCCTGGAAACGTTGGCTCAAGATTGAGATGTCATCGTGGCCAAAGCTTTTGAAGCCACAACCACACCTCACCAACGCTCTCTACTCTCCAGCAAATCCCGCCGCTGCTGCCGCTGCTGCTGCTGCACGACAGACACGTGACCTCAGAGATATGCTCTACTGGACGTCTGTGAAAAACAGCTTCATAGCTCATAGGATTTCTCCAGGATACATATTCTGACTCTGCTATAAAAGTCTGCCAGCGTCTTGTCATAGGTCTTCCCCTTGGTTGCCGGACTCATGGAGACCACGCCGATGACTGTCCACACACGTCACACTCGACGCGACTGCTTCTCTCCTAAACATCTACAACAACTAGCTGCCGTGTTTTTTTTCCAGACTTGTGCATTGCTTATCCTATCTTGCCCCAAACTTAACAGCTGTGCTCAAACGCCGGTAACTTATTTTTCAGCTGCTTAGCGCGTTCTTTTTTAATCAGGTAAGGCCCACTAAGCCAAACTCTAAACGAATGTCGATTCTAAATAGGGAGGGAAAAACTAGAGGACACGGATAAAATTCCACGAGACTACGGGCAGAACATGCAAACTTCAACTATACAGGCGTTGGGGTCGAGATCAAACCCATGGCCTCCTATATACTTGGCGAGATAGTTATCATCTCACTCCCGTGGCCGGCCTGAAGCGCCCTTTTCTTTACAATCAGACTCATTGCTCTTCTGTTTCAAAGTGCTTTCCACGAACCAATATACACCTGGCCTGCTAAATCGATGCACCTCTGGACCACCTCCACACAGCCTCCTACATTATGGACACTCCTGCATCAGCTACGCTCGTGCATTTAACACAGTATAAGATGCATGCAGAAAGTACCAAAATACCTATGAATCATACCTATAAATCATACCTTGAATAATACAATGTGGTTTAAATCGTGAGTAGCAGACCCTGCACTGCACTTGCTTTTGACTTAGATTATTTAGATGATTTTGCTGCTATACATTTCCACATGATAAACCACTTCGTTGAGCTATCATTTGTGGCCAGGTCGCTTCTGAAAAAGAAGCTCAAAGCTCGGTGGGTAAAATAAAAGTTTGTTTTAGCGATTTGTTTACCTTTCCTATATTTTGCACTCCTCTCTGTAAAACGGAGCTTATAGCGCAGCAGATTCCTCCACTATAAATACAAATTCTGATTCTGCCTTTCAAGAGACACCAGCAGGGATGGGTCTCTAAAATTGTTGGCAGGTGTTATTGGCAAAAAAACTCTCCTCGAAGATTATGGCCGAAAGTTGCGGTACAGCAAGATGGTGCAACATTCACATTGTAACCCATCAACATCGATAGCATGTTGGGTGACAATGAGTGAAGGGAGAAGTGAGTGGCCAGGAGATGTTAACTACCTCGCCTGGTATACAAGGAGGTCGTGGGTTCGATCCCGATCCTGACGTCTGCTGCTGCTGGTGTATATTTGAAATTTGCGTGTCTCTATCCTCACGGTGGCTTGGAGATGTTAACTACCTCGCCTGGCATACAGCAGGTCGTGGTTTCAATCCCGACCCTGACGCCTGCTGCTGCATATTTAGGAGTTTGCGTGTCTCTCTCTTCTCGTGGTCGCATGGATTTTTCCCCGGGTCCTCCGGGTTTTTCCCTTCTACATTTAGAATCAACATCGCCATGCACCATTTGGCTGATATAAATGTCCACGTGATAAGCCACTTCATTGCATAGCTGTCAACCCATGCGGTTTACCCCATATTCTTGTGCAGAGAAATTGAGTGTCCGTACGGTTGTACAACCATTTCATCACTGGCAAAAAATGTCTATTTGTTTGAGTTTCTCACTTTGTGATGGGACTTTTTAGGGTGAACGTTGAGATTTATAAGGCCACGGGGGTGACCAACAAGGTCTGAATTGGTCTGTAATAAGGTAGTTAGAGCACTGATAAGGGGTGAACAGGTGTATCATTGGACCAGCATTTGTGGCCAGGTCGGTTCTGAAAAAAAAGTCTACACAGCTCAAGTGGGCCTTAGCCTGGCGAAATAACAAACAAATATTACCAGAGGATGTTGTTGTTTACATGTTCATCACAAGTATTTGTAGTTAGGGGCCGTACATAAATGACGTCACGCACCTAGGGGGGGTCAGACATTTGTGACGATGTGTGACGAGGGGGGGTGTTTGAGAAATGTGACGTCACATCAAAATGTGCAACTTAAAATAAATATAGACAACACGTTCTACTTAGTAAAATAGACTTTGTAATAAATGTTTTCTCCTACGTCAGAGTGCAGCGCCACATTAAATACGCACTACAATGACAATAGTTTAAAGCGATTTGAAGCATGTCTTATTTTTGGGGGGGGGCAGAGCTTTGTGACGTCATATTTGAGGGGGGGGGGTCTGACTTTTTGTGACGTCGTGTGACGAAAGGGGGGGGTCAAAAATCGTCCAAAATCGCGTGACGTCATTTATGGATGGCCCCTTAATGCAGACATGATTCCTTGCAAAAGATTTCTGTTTGTTGTTTTAACATCATAACGCCTGTTTTTAATCGCCAAAAAGGGTAAAAACAATTCTTATATTTATAAAAAATATATATTCGTGACTGCAGAGATTCATATTCTTGGTTCTTTCGGTAAAGTCACGTAGAAGGGAAATAATAAAATAATAAAAATAAATATATTATATTGTTTCCCTTCTACGTGACTTTACCGAAAGAACCAACAATATAATATATATTTAGTTTAATTGATAAGTGCATTTATTTTTCAAGGAAGGCTAATTTACAATCGCGTTCGGGCAGCCTCGCCGGGTGCCGTAGCGGTGACGTCACCCCAGGATCACACGCCGTCCAGGGCACCACCACGCAGAAGCAAGGTTTGGTGAACGACTCCTCAACAACAACAATAACAACAACAACAGCAACATTAACATCGCTAACATCACCACAGACACAACGTCAACAAGTAACGCCAAACGTTTGGGAACTTGCGACGTTGAGCGACGGGCAGCGGCGTTGGACAGGGTGCCTGTTGTGGCAGCAACGTCGCTTCTGAAAACGAAATTGGTGTGAAAAAATAAATTCGATTTAAAGTTTTTGTGACTGCCAGGGATTCATATTCTTTGGTTCTTTCGGTAAAGTCACGTAGATAGGTTGTAATAATAAAATAATAAAAAAATTACAATAAAAATTTTGATTTGAAGCTTTTTGACTGCAGGAATCCATACTTATTGGTTTTTTCGGTAAAGTCACTTTTATAATTTTATTTTATATTTACGTGACTTTACCGAACGAACCAAGAGTATGAGGTTGCTGTAACAGCCTCGTGTTCTTGGGTTCTTTGCCCAGTCGGGTGTGGAACCAGTGCCGGATGAAGCTAGTGCCGGGGCCTGTAGCATTTTGTTGTTATAAAATGTTCCATGAATATTGAAAAAAAACACGTAAATATTAATCATATTTTTAACTTGCACAGTAATGTAATTGTATTTTTTCATTCGCTACACAGCCCAGATAATACGACAAATGGCTAACCTGAAACACCCAGTCGTTCGTAAAATTTGAAGGCGGTATAGTACTATAGTAATAGAGCTAGTGCAGAATCACTGAAACCGCAATTGATCGCTTGAAAGCATTTGGCGCGGGGCCCTTGAAAGTTCGGGGTACGTAGCATATATAGCTACTTTTGCTACTAGGATCATCTGACACTGGTGTGGAAGCTTTAGTTTCGTTTGTAGGCGTTCTGGTAATTCGCTTACCTGTTGTGGCTCGTCGGATCCCTCCAGTAATGCATATTGCGATTCTGTTAGGCCACCCTTAACTCTGTGTACACATTTCGATTTAAAGCTTTCGTGACTGCAGGGATTCATCTTCTTGGTTCTTTCGGTAAAGTCACGTAGATTCCAAAGAACACAGGATGGGATGTTACTATCCTTTGTGCAAGCACTTCCAAGAGTTCATGAACAGTGAGCCTGGTGAAATTTGGGGAGCACATCGTCAGTAGTGAAACATAATAAAATAATTCTCACGACGTTTCGGCCACAACGCAAGCAGCCGTCCTCAGGTGAAAACCAGGTCTGTCGAAGCGACAGAGTCTGAATGAAACAGCACACGAGCTTGGAGCATATATATAAGCTGGGCGCCTTGACAAAGGAATTTGCATATCATCTCCCTGCCTTCATCTGCTGCGTATGTACCGTCGACGAGACGCACTTTCATCGCCATTCCGTCATCTATCCACTGCTGGATGGAGGCCTCCTCCCGTGTAACCAGAGGTCGCAACCGGGTACCCGATACCCGTACCCTACCCGATACCCGGCTACTCGTACCCGGCCGGGTACGGGTACGGGTAGCAGTTTGCGACCCTGGTGCGGCCAGGTACGGGTAGGCCGTGAGTCACTGGTGAGTAACTGTCACTCATTTCCCAACGTCTTGTCTCTTCTCACAATTAAAGTTCCTAGAATCAACCCACCCGCGCCTGCAACATGTCTTTATCCCAGAGGTCGCAATCAGGTACCCGATACCCGTACCCTACCCGTACCCGGCCGGGTGCGGGTAGGGTACCCGTTTGCGACCCTGGTGCGGCCGGGTACGGGTAAGGAATCAAAACCCGTTTGCGCCTCTGCGTGTAACCCATCTCGCCCCCTGCACACGAGCGGATTTTCTTCGCCCCGTCTCCACGATGTCACGGCGCCGGTCGCCCTGCGTTAGCTTGACGGCAGATCTGTGTCCCTGTCCGTCTGTCCCGGTGTCTCCCTATCTGCCGGTGTGTGAACCCATCTCCCTTCCTTGATCTGCCACCATGCGTTTTGTGCTCATGAACCACCGCGTGTCCCCCCTGTCCCGTGTGTCGTGCAGCATGGAGGAGCACGGTATTCCAGTGCAGCCCCTGACGGGAGGCGGAGGTCTGAGCTCCATGGAATATCTCCTGCAAGGTGCCCGCCGCACTCTCCTCGTCAAGAGCTGGGGAGCCGTTCCATTACCGAGGGCCCGACAGGGCTTTCATATCCAGTAGATACCGACAAATACCAACCAACGACCTGCTTTTGTGGGTCACGTGAGCCCTTCCCATTGACATGAATAGAAATATCACGTCAGCACCCTCTTATAGCCATGCATTTCAGATGGCCTCAGTTCCAGCCAAAGGTCAGAGAACCCTGTGTTTGGCCCCTGTCTGAAACGTGTAGAGCAACTTTTACCATCTTTTCTCACCTCCGGCTGGCGTTTCCCATTGCAGAGGCATCTTGCAGTGCTACTTTCATCGTGTTTTCTCCTCCGCGTCTTAAAGTGTGTTCTCATATCTGCGTATACCACTGTGGTGTATAGTGGTGTATGGGATTGTATCAATGTGCTCATGTGGTGTAAAGGGGTTTGTATGCGTATGTGCCGGTATAATGTGTGCATGCCAGTGTGGTACTTTTGAAACGTGGACCCCCACCGAATGTAACATCGGCGCCAGTGAGAAACATTCAGGCTGGCCTACCTACGATCGATCCATCCTGCGTTTAACCAGACTGGATTGTGTGAGGAGCTCACAGATCCTTGAAAGATCTTGGACATAGTCCCATTGGTTAGCTCCTCCGACAGGCAAGACTGTTTTGGCTGGGGCATGTAGCCCGCATGCCCTTCCACCGCATGCCCAAACAGATTTTGTTTGGCTGGATAGAGGGGGCAAAACGTGTGCGGCACGGGCTAGAGAAGAGATTGACTGATGTGGTACAGGAGGATATGGAGCCGAGTGGACTTGCCGATAACTGGTACCAGCGGTGTCAAGATCAGCCTCTGTGGAGGTGGCTTGTGAAGGATGCTGCTGGGCAGTTGGAGGCAGTCGCCCTCCATCAACAACGGAGGACAGAAGAGCAACACTCACAACAGCTAGCTGAGCACCAGGCAGATAAAATACAGCAAGTTGGCAAAGTAGGAGGCACAGATGGTGCATCTACCAGTCATCTCAGTCAATCCATGGCACCTGAGTCTGTCCCGTGACCTGCCAGCAAGCCTTCGACACTTCAAGTGGCCTCAAAGTGCACAACCGCCGTGGTGACTTCACCACCACTTAGTGGCGAACGTCAGTTGTTGTATAATGGTGCATGGCTGTGCGTGTGCAGGCAGCGTGCTGGACAGCAGCGTGGACAATGTGCTCAGCCGCCTGCGTGGTCTCTGCGATAACATGGAGGCAGAGTCATTTGCCGACCATGAGATCGTTTTCCTGCTCAAGCCTGGGCAGGGGTCGCCGTTCGTCATTCGGGCGCGTCACGCCCTGGACCGACCCGGGGTGAGGGTGTGTGGAGATGGGTATCTCGCGCGTCAGCGTGCGTATTCCTGTGTCTCATTGTCGTGTACATGTGCGTGCTCTTGTGTGGTGCTTAGCGCGCTACGGTATGAACCTGGCGACCCAAATTGAATTAATTATTGTGGCCAACATATACATATTACAATTCCTTATAGGGGAAACACATACTAATTAACTGATTACGAACGTAGCATATAATTACAATAACACACATTACAACTATCTTCTTGTTTCTTTCGGTAAAGTCACGTAGAAGGGAAGTAATAAAATAATAAAAATAAAACATAATAAAACAATTCTCACGACGTTTCGGCTACAACGCAAGCAGCCGTCTTCAGGTGAAGAATGAGACACTACCAAACTAGGAGCTTATATATAAGTTGCATTGGGGGTTGAAGAGCGCCTTAACAAAAAGAATGTGCATGTGAAGAGGGATTTAGCATATTCATGGAAAATGCGTAGGCGTTGGGCGGGGGGGTGTCAAAGTCATATTATGCCCATGCATTATGCAGGATCAGCAGCAACCAAGGGGGGTGCAGGGATTAGCAGTAACAAAGGAAAGGAATGTTAATGATATGTAGCTGCAGTTACTCAACAACACGTAGAAAACTAAGGTATAAACTACATAAAAAACTAAAGTATAAACTGCATCGCACCATCAGTATACTTACTATACTCTATAATAAGCTGAGTTACTAACAGCAAGTAATACATTACAATTTTACCTCGTAAAAATTCTATAATATGCTTCCATCTAAACCTTATTCTCTTACATCACACGAGCATATACCGTACTATATACTGCCATAGATAAACCCAACATTAAATTATATACTGTATTGCTGTAAACCAACCTATATCTTATACATTTAATATCACACTATGTATTATTCTACACACCCTAATGTGTATCGAAATGGTTTATTACGTCGTTCCAATGATTGCTGAGCCAGAATCCATCTTCTCGGTTAAAGTTGTCTCTGTGTTTGTATATGTGGATCGCCTCATGAACGAAGACGGCTGCTTGCGTTGTAGCCGAAACGTCGTGAGAATTGTTTTATTATGTTTTATTTTTATTATTTTATTACTTCCCTTCTACGTGACTTTACCGAAAGAAACAAGAAGATGAATCCCTGCAGTCACGAAAGCCTTAAATCGGAACATTACAACTAATTACTAATCAACAACTCATTACTAATCATAACAATTGACTGATTACCAATCTATTATATAATTACAATACCCCCCTCTGCCTCAAATCGTCGCACCTGCATGAGTTAAATGATGACGTCACCCTGCTGCTCTATTTAAGACTGGGAGCAAGTGAGGGCTTCACCATTCTGGCGAATTGCCCGATGATGCTGGATGTAATTACCAGCGAAACGTCGTACTCAAAAATTGTAAATGTTGTGGATTCACTCTTCAACACACCGGTGGGCTAAAGTAGTGAACTATTTGTCTTTTGTCAACGTGACACTTTTTTGCTGATTGGCCGTGTCGGGTGGTGGAGGGTTACGACACATTTATAAATAATGCGATCTAACCCAAAAACTTTATTAGAAATTATTATGAAAGGGGATCTTTATCGTTGTGCTTCTCTGTGTGTATGCACGTCTACGTGTGTGCATTTGTGCATTCATGTGTGTGCACACTCACGTTTGGTAGTCTCAATTTAGATTCAGGCTGTTGTAGCAAACTGCGATACAATCAAGGCAGAAAGAAACTGAAAACAATCCATACATTTGTTGGCTATGAATTGCACATTCATTACATTTCCAGGGAGATCAATTGTTGTACCCCTCGTGTTACACTTGTGCCCATGACTTCTCGTGCATTTCAGTGTGAGTGCACGTGTTGAGTCTTTGTGCTTCGCGCACATCAAAGCGCACGTTATCTGTACGCATTCGTACATATCCGCGTGCGCGCGTGCACTGCAGCTGCCGTGGCAGCTTCGCTACGTGGGCACAGCTGAGGTCGGGGACAAGCAGCGGGGAGCGTTGGTGCGCAGCGTGGTGGAGGTGGCCGCCTCGGAGTGCCTGCCCACCTTCCTGCAGCACATGGGCTTCCGCACCGACCACGAGTACATCGCACGTGGACACATCTACCGCAAGGGAACTATGAAGGTGCGGGAGGAAGGAGGAGGGGGGGGGAATTGTCGAGGGAGGTTGTGATCTGGATTTCATGCCTGGCCACAACTGACATCAGTGGTGAGTGACATCCGAATTTTCTTTGACTCCCAATAGGTCAAAGGTGAAGAACCTCTGTCTTTATTTCACATGGTCCGTGGCCACATGACACCGGCTACTTCGATATGGCCTGAAAGAAATACAGCTGTATATGTCATCGTAACCATCTTGGCCACACTCATCTTTAAGCGAAATAAGTGACTGCACCAATGGTATTTGAAAGTCCGATTCGGCCCTCAGTTAGCAGCAGGTTCCCCACCCCTGCACTCTTTGGACTCGGTCTCAAATGAGTACCTGGTGTGGTCTGCACGCATCAGCACTGGGGAGACAGAGCTGGTTCTGGCCACACAAACCCCCCCCCCTTGTGCACCATTGCAGGCACTTCGTAGGGGGTTGCTAGCAGCACTTGTCCCAATAGCGCTCGCTCAGCTGCATGGCTTCTGGTTGCCAAACTAATACATTATAAGGTAAACACAAGGTACTTGCCACGCATTAACCACAATACCTTGCTGATCTCGTCAAAGAACTAAACCATCACGTTAACTCTCGTCATCCTCGCAGCAGCTTTAGGCTAACCATGTAACAACGACGGTCACCGCATCGCTCGCGTTCAGATGATCTTCTTTGGCCGTCTGGAATGCTCTTCCGATATTAGGAAGCCACTGGAGCTATGCGCTTTAAAATCGTCTGGATTGAAAGTTAATTTCTTCAGAACTTCTGCATGTGCCGAGTTTGCTGTCCTTCCCCCGCACCTCCGATTAGCACGGTTGCCAACGTACAGTGTGAAAGAAGTTCAACATACGTACGACATACATACAACAGCGTGAGCTCCACGGGTGGATGTTTTTTGTGTGTGTGTGTGTGTGTAGGTGGTGGTGTGCAAGGTGTTCCGGCTGCTCGTCGCCGGGAGCCCGGAGTCGGCGGAGCCGCTGTCCCCATCGCACCTGCTGGAGCTGAGCGTCGTGTGCGGCGGCGCTGGAGGCGGCGGCGCCGACGCCATTGCCGAGGACATGCGCAGCTTCGCCGAGCAGCTCAAGCCGCTGGTGCAGCTCGACAAGATCGACCCCAAGCGCCTCTAGCGGTGGGGGGGCGGGAAGGGTGGGGAAGGGGCGGGGGGCAGCGTGCGAAGGATCCATCCTGTTTAGCACCGCTTGCTTGTTTGGCATTCATCCACGCTCGGTTTTGGGTTGTTTCGTTGAGCTTTCTTTACTGGACTGAGTTGTAACTCGAGAATCCGGTTTAATCACCAAGGGGGGCAGAAACTTGGATTAGAACGCAGGGTATCATCTGTGCTGGCTGAGTGCCACTCTTGGCACCCAAACCCACCTATTATTAATAGTACAATAAAAATCACAGCCGTTTGTCAATTCACTGCTGGATGATGGCCTTCCCTTGTTTCTGTCACGAGAGTTGCATGAGCGTACTTCACTGTGCTGGTCAGTGTGAATCGGTGAGGGGGGGGGGCAAACCTGAAATGGTATCAGATATCACTGTGGATGTTAAAAAAGTGTGCGAACCGCGGCACCACCGCTCCACCCCTTGTTAATATATTTGGAGTCCTGTGGACGATTGCATGAAGCCACCTTTGGTGATGGTTCCCTTTGTAAGGAAAATAATCTACTTCAGATGTTTTATGCAACTGCCCGCTGATGTTTATTTTTCAGAGTAGCTTCAGGTTCGGAATGTGAGCGTGGCCTGCAAGACGTTAATTCCCACTCGCTTTCGTCATTTGTAAATACTCATTTAACCTAAGTTTTGTATCTAAACAATAGAGTTGAAACTTTTCAAATGTTTCAATAAAATACTGAAATATGTGCCTGGGATGAACCCTGCCTCTCCTTGAATGCGCCTGTGTTGTATGCATGTTGGACTTCTTTCGCACTTTACGTATCTGTAAGGTGGTTTAACCGTCACTGGATTTAGTTTCAAGTCGGAAGAATTCCTCAATTTCCATTTGAAAAACATCTCTTAGTGCAACCGAAATGTATTTATTTTGGGTGGGAAATGGTCCATATTTGTCCTAGTCTCAATGTCCCCTCTGCTTAGAAACACATTGTCCTGCGGAGGGAGCTGGTAGGAACGTTGGGTTGCTCGGTCAATGGCCTGCAGGGTCAACGGCGGCGTGGTGTATTCCGCAAATATGCCCGACTGTGAGGTCGGGCACAAGCCGGCGTGAGTAGGTGAAACGTTGAGTTTTATAAGGGCACCACGGGGTGACCAGCCCCTCCCCACCCAGCCCCACCCCACCCAGCCCCTCCCCACCCCGCCCCTCCCACCCCACCCACTCCACCCAGCCCCACCCCTCCCATTTTTGTATGCACGACGGACGGACACAATAATCCCCTGTGGGCTGGTGGAACCAGGTGGTTCCTACCAGTATAGGCGCAGAGTCTGGGTGGTCTAGAATGCTGGCAGCCCCGGAGCCATCGGTGGAAATTCCACGTTCCCATGCCGGTGACTCGGCTACATAGGGCGACCACTGATGAATTATTCACGCTGGGCGGATCCAGAACGTAGTTATGTCGTCACGTCTCCCTCTGGTGTGACGTCACCTGTCCGCCAACCATTACGTCATTTCTCCCTAACGCGGACACCGACGTCGCCCTTTCCCAGCTCCTCAACGTCATCGCGGTCGCGTCCTCTAGTGGACGCCCATTTGGTCACATTGCGTCACTCGCGCCTCGGGGTAGCGTCGTATGACGTCATCGCGCCCGAGCCGTTTAAGTTTTATGACGTTACCAGACCGCCCCTCGCCCCCCCCGCGCACGCGCGCGTGACCCCGCCCCTCCAGCGACCCCGTGACCCCCCCCACCAGCCCCTCCCCACCAGCTCGGCGCTTCCTGCTCAAGCGCCGCCACGAACCTCCTCCTCGTCCCCCTCATCATCGTCAAACCTCTTCATCATCCTGCTGCTGCTGCTGATTCACAACAACAACAACAAACAACAACGACAACGCCGAGGCGCCTCACTCGCGGCGCCGCTCGTGCTGCCGCCGCCGCGCGGGACGAGGAGGTGAAGAGACCGGTGGGGGGTGGGGGGAGGGGTGGTGGTGGTGGGTGGTGTGGTGGTGGGGGGTTGTGGTGGGTTGTGGTGGTGGGTGTGGTGGTGGGGGTTGTGGTGGTGGGGGGTTGTGGTGGTGGGGGGGTTGTGGTGGAGGGGGGGTGGTGGTGGTGGGGGGGGGGTGGTGGTGGTGGTGGGGGTGGGGGGTGGTGGGTGGGGGGGGAGGGGGGGTGGTGGTGGTGGGGGGGGGGGTGGTGGTGGTGGGGGGGGGTGGTGGGGGGGGGGTGGTGGTGGGTGGGGGGGGGGTGGTGGGTGGGGTGGGGGGGGTGGTGGTGGTGGGGGGGGGGTGGTGGTGGTGGGTGGGGGGGGGGTGGTGGTGGGTGGGGGGGGGGTGGTGGTGGGTGGGGGGGGGGGTGGTGGTGGGTGGGGGGGGGGGTGGTGGTGGGTGGGGGGGGGGTGGTGGTGGGTGGGGGGGGGTGGTGGTGGGTGGGGGGGGTGGTGGGTGGGGGGGGGGTGGTGGTGGGTGGGGGGGGGGTGGTGGTGGGTGGGGGGGGGGTGGTGGTGGGTGGGGGGGGGGTGGTGGTGGGTGGGGGGGGTGGTGGGTGGGGGGGTGGTGGTGGGTGGGGGGGGGTGGTGTGGTGGGGGGGGTTGTGGTGGTGGGTGGTGGGTGGTGGTGGGGTGGGGGGGGTTGTGATGGTGGTCGGTGGTAGGGGGGTTGTGATGGTGGTGGGTGGTAGGGGGGTTGTGGTGGTGGTGGGGGGTGATGGTGGTTGGTGGTAGGGGGGTTGTGGTGGTGGGTGGTAGAGGGGTTGTGGTGTTGGTGGTGGTGGTGGGGGAGAGACGAGGTGAGGGTGATGTCAATGAGAAGCGGCGGCGGTGGTGAACAGAGGATTCCCACTCACGGCCAACACCACAGTGACGATTATCTGAACCTGCCAAGCAGCGAGCCCTTTCGACACTTCGCGTGGCCTCAAAAGGTGCACCTGGCTTGGCACAGGGGTCGCGGAGGATGTCACCATCACTCCGTGGCGTTTGGTTTATTGGTGGTGGTTAGAGCCTGGCGAGAGAGAGAGAGTGGTGGGGTGGGTTGGGGGACGTGATGATGAGTGGGGGTAGAGAGACCCGTGACACGGAGAGAGCGGCGAAAATAATGCGCTGTCGTGAGGAGTGGGAAGAAAGTCGACTTTGTTGGAGGTGAGGGCCTGGGTGGCGGGAGGGAGAGAGAGAGCAGGTGATGAGGACCTGGTGAATGGGGTGAGAGGATAGGTAGGTGAGGAAGAAGGTGGTCATGACCCGTGGGAAGGAGAGAGAGCGCGTGATGAGCAACTGGGAAGAGGTGAGGATTATGAGCGGAGTGCATGACAGTAGAGTTATACGCAAAGAGATAAAAAAAAAAACCAGGTGGCGACGTGGTGGAGGAGGAGGAGGACGAACAGAGTTGGGGGGGGGGGGGGTTAGAGAAGTAGGAGAGAGAATCCAGGCAGAGGGAAAGGAGAGACGGCATGACCTCCATCTCCCTTACCACTCTTTCGTCCCTTCACACCTCCCTCCCCAGACGGGCCCCGGGCCTCCTCCCACCCGCCCGCCATGGCGAACCAGCCGGTGCTGCTCAACGTGTACGACATGTACTGGATCAACGAGTACACGGCGTCCCTGGGCATCGGCGTCTTCCACTCGGGCGTCGAGGTGTACGGCCGCGAGTTTGCGTACGGGGGCCACCCATACCCTTTCTCGGGCATCTTCGAGATCTCGCCGGGCGACGCGAGCGAGCTGGGCGACGCGTTCCGCTTCAAGGAGGCCATCGTGCTGGGCACCACGGACTTCGCCGAGGGCGACGTGGAGAGCATCGTGGAGGAGCTGGGCCGGGAGTTCCGCGGGGACGCCTACCACCTGATGCGCAAGAACTGCAACCACTTCTCGAGCGCCGTCAGCGAGGTGCTGTGCGGCCGCGAGATCCCACGCTGGGTCAACCGCCTCGCCTACGTCAGCTCGTGCATCCCCTTCCTGCAGAGCTGCCTGCCCCGCGAGTGGCTCACGCCCGCCGCCCTCCAGAGCAGCGTCGTGGCGGCCCAGGGCGGCGCGGGGGCGGTAGCGGGAGGGCAGCAGCGGCAGCAGCAGGGAGGCGCCGACGCGGGCGGTGCCGATGACGCGGAGGCCGGGAGTGGGCGGTCGGGCCGGCACACGCGCGTGTGAGACGGTGGTGCCGGTGGTGCCAGTCGGCGGTGGTGGTGGTGCTCCGTCGAGGGCGGGCGGGCGGAGGGGTGGGCGGGGGAGCGAGCGAGTGGGAATGATGAAGAGATATGTGGACGAGTGGGTGGCTGAGTTGAGTGGGTGAGCAAATGGACAGAGCGAGGGGACGAGCGAGCATGGTGGCTTACAAGCGGCTTGGACGAGTAGGTGAGCCGGTGGGTGGGTACAGTTAATATAGTTAATGGTGAGGTGTGAGGCTAGTGTCAGAGGCCTAGCGCTTGCCCTGTTTCTTACCTTACCTGCTATCGATATCCACATCCCAACCCCATCACAGCACGAACCCCCCAGTCCACTGTGGCTGGGTAGTTTTGGGGGGTTCTTGATGGCCCCGCTGGAGAGCCGCGCGCACGCTCAGTCCCTTGTGCGCGCAACACCCGAGGGCAGCTTCTTTGCTCCGCCGGTTTAAATCACAGATACAAAATCGCGCTGCAATCGCACTCGCCTCCCCCCAACGGGGGTCGGGCAACTGCTACTCCCCACTTGCCCCACCACCATCTGGGTCGTCGACTGTCGGGTACCACCTTTGCTCACCAATCGACGTCACCGTCCCGTGTTTATTTTCCCGGCCTCACACCGGTGCCCGAGCAGTCGTCCCGGAGAGTGACAGTGCGTCTCTGCGCTGAAGTTGTATGCCATTCATCCGTCTAATGTCTCCCGGTCGAGGCCACACACTGCCTTATCTGCCTCCTGAGTATCTGGACTGGGTGACGCTCAGGGCGAGGTTGTGCTTGTGTGCCCTAACCCATTGTCGGGGGCTGTAGCTTTGAAGGCGGCTTTTGCCCCCCCCCCCCCCCCCCGATTGGATGACGAGACTTTTGACGATCAGCGTGAGCTGAGAAGACTCAAGTCTTCATATTCTTAGGTTTTTTCGGTAAAGTCACGTAGGTAAAATATGATCATTAATAAAAGTAAAATAAAAAGATTTATTTTATTAATTTTAATTTTTTATTATTTTACTTTTATTAATTTTTATTTGTAACCTACGTGACTTTACCGAAAAAACCTAAGAATATGAATCCTTGCAGTCACGAAAGCTTCAAATCTAGATTTAAGACTCAAGTCTCTTGTCCAGCAGCGAGCGGGTTGCAGGGAGCCTGGCTCCGGGGAGGTCGTCTGATTTAACCGACGGCGTTGGTTTTGACCGCGGTCAGGAGGGAGCCCGCGCCAGCCTCGACGCGGAGAGTCGCTGGTGGACACGCGAAAGTTTGGTGAACGCAGGCAGCGTCGTTCGCGAGGCCTCTCTGCTGCGAGCAACTGTTCTCTTGAGCGGCTGCTTCGCAGGTCCCTCTGCACTGCATGCATCTCCGTCACCCCTTAGCCAGCGCTGTCTACCGCGTAGGTCTGAGACGTTGGGTGAAGGATCACGTAGATAAGGAGGCTATCGTAAACCCTGTGACATCAGCTGCATGCGTGCAGCCTGTGGAAGGCACAGGCGACTCCCCTGTGAGTTGTGGCAGCAGCTGGAGTGTGCTGTGATGCCACCCACCCCCCCAGTAGGCACCACAACAGCCGTGCCATCAACAAAATGTAATTTCCATAGAGTCGAGCTTTGTGTGACCGCAGGCTTCAAAGATGTTTTGATCATAGAGAGAGGTTTTAGCTCGCGGTTGAGTTTTAAATTAATCGGTCACCCACCGCACCGTGCCGGAATCGGTATTCACGCTCCGTGAGCCTTTAGCACCGACGGCTGCCACGGCACCACAGCCAAATCACAAACTGTTTTTGCGTGAGGATGAGGCTTGGAGCCTCTTGGTGTCTATAGCACGGCAGGGCTGGGTCTTTTACCAAGACCTCCATGAACTATTTATATGTGGAACGGTTAGCACGGATTGTACACTCAAAACGGATTTCACTCAAGCCCTGTGATGCAAAGGAAAGTGATGCCGTGAAAGAGAGTGACTGGAATCGGATCTCATAAACATGAGTCTTTGGCTTCGAAATCTGACTCCATTTTAATGAGCCCAAGTGCTCAGATTTTCACCTAACGTGCTAACATTGTTAACGTACATCGGGGCTGCGTGGGGTGATACCCGTCAGGATACTCGGCTTTGGATGGTTACGGCACCGCAGACCGTGCGAGGTTATTACTTCAGCGTGAGCGTGCAACTACAAACCTACTAACACTGTTGCCAAAACAGTCGCGTGGGAAATCTGCGCTCTTGATATCTCGGTGTTCAATGGTGTGCGTGCGGTGCAGTACACGGGCGCTCATGACCTTACACTTTGTACAGAATTGGCCGCGCCGTGTGGCTTTGGGTCCGGCCGTTTTGTTTTTGTTAAACTGAACTCTTGACCGAACGGCACTGTTTTACTCTCGTCAAGTGCCGAACTGAAACTCGTTGAGGCCAACGAGGGCGGTGTGATCGCGAGAGCTCGTCGAACAAGCGCACGCTCGCTCGCAAGTCCCCGTTTTGGGGCTTGCCCAGTTAGTGCGGGGCCCTTCCCAGGGTTATTAGCGGTCTGAGTCGGCTTGTTCGTTGAGCTGTTCGTCGTTTTTATCCAATTCAGAGAGAAGCGTCGCCTTCTGACCTGCCGCTAGCTCATTCCTGGCTACGGAAACCCGTCGATGCAATAAGCCCAGCCAAGCAGACACCCGTCCGATGGGATTCTTCGCTGTACGCCGCCGAGGCAATCTGAAGTCAGTTTTAAACGACGCCTCGTTTTACCAAATGGAAGCAGTCTTTGTGGTTATTTAAAAAAAGCAAAAAAAGCCTGACAAAAAGGGAAATAACCGTGTCAACGAAAAACCTTGTACGAGTTGGTGTATTTTTTACTCGGTTTTATAATGACGAAGGTGAGGAAATGCAAAAGTCGATATTTTAACCCGCGGTGGCGCGTGTCGTCTGCGACGGTGAGGATGGTTAGACATTGCCGCCGTGAAGGTGTTCACGGTTCCACCGTGCAGCTCTCCTCCATGTGTTTGCGGGTTGTGCCACTCGTTGTTCGGCACGACGATCAGACGTTTCGTTCCACATCCTGGGACCTCCTGCAGGAACTAAGTCGAAAAATCAACTTGAAAACACAACCGAGAGCTGTTGTTTCGTATTGATTATTATTAACAAAACAAAAACGCTGGCTGGCGAAGGTCGGATCTGGTGTCCTTGTGGCCAGGGTCGTTGGCAAACAACACACTCACTGCCGATCTCCTTGGCCATGGGGCCCTCCGCCATCCTCTCGCTCACCCTGCAGAAAAAAACTTGCGCCCTCTGCGCTAAGCGTGTTGGCACTTAACACGGGAAGGCGGCAATCTCGTTTGCCGTACTGATTCCCTTAACTCGATTTGAGCCGCTTGCTAATTTATCGTCCGCCCCATGCCTCGTAACGTCGAGGAATGCCGTGTGGATCAGCACTTGTGGAATGGGTAAACTAGTGCACAGGTTGCGGCACATGGCTGCCCGCAAACTCACCAACCCACGATTGTGCATCGAGTTGGCCACATGGCCCAGTGGTCAGACTGCCTACCGCTGAGCCATATTGCTCCCCAGTCGTCGACATTTTGATCCAACTACTACAGCAGTTCAATAACACAAGCGGAGAATGATCTAAAGTCAGACTCAAATCGGATGTTGCAAACACCATCTGGTGTGGTTGGCGGAGTTGTGTGCAAATTGTGCACTGTGTACAAGCGAAAATGTCATAAGTCTAAATCACAGTGATGGAAATGCTAACTAATTCGAGCATAAGTGTCGAAGATGTTTACTGTGTGGAACGTCTCTTTGGAAGACCCGTTTAATTGGAAATCACGAGCAGGGTTGTAATATAGTCACTCTGGGCTTTGGAACAAGAGATGACCAGGGTGGGATTTGGGTTATGGTCAGAATGTATTGTATGGCTAGGGTCTGGATCTGTATTAGAGATAGGTAGGGATAGGATGGAGGTTAGGCTAAGTATTGGTCTGCTTCGGAATAGTGTGTGTGTTTGGAGTGGGGAGCTGTAGTGTAGCGGTTAGCGCTACGAACCTGGCGACCCGGGTTCGATTCCCGCTCACGGCCAACACCAGCTGAGGATTATCTGAACCGGTTCTGGGCCTCCCCTAGGTCGACTCAGCCTCAAATAAGTACCTGGTGCGATGTGTAAACATCGTCACTAGGGAGACAAAGGCGGCCGAGCGTGGTGTTGGCCACCCACCCCCTCGTGTGCCGTGCCGGCCTTCATAGGTGCTCGCTAACAGCACTTGCCCCTACAGTCTGTTAAGGCTATACTGGGGGATCTTTTTTTGTTTTGTTACAGATAGACTTAGTGTTGTGTTAGGTTATTCTTAATTATGTTATAGGTGGGCATAGACTTAGTTGAGTGATTGACTACGAGTTTGGGTAGGATTGTGATTAGTATTATGGGATAGCATTATGCTAGGATTGCTTTAAGGGCTAGTATTTGTTTGAGATCAAGGTTATGATGCCAATTAATGCCATTCGTTAACTCAGGAAAGCCTCCCTGAGGCTCAATACTCATTTTCAGGAGTGTCTCGCATTGGGGTGTTTGGCCAGTATCATACATGAGTGGCATGTGAGATGAAATCTGAGCACCCGGAGAAAATCCACAAACGCGAGGGGTGATAAGCAACGCTGCCACCTGACACACACCTCGCAAGCCCTGGTGGTCATCCATCCAGGCTGTAACCAGGCTCAAACCTGCTTAGCTTCGTATATCTGGTGAGACGAGACGCATTCAGGGTATTTGGCCGTAGGTTAGGGTATAGTTAGTGTTGTAGTTATAATTAGAGTGATGGATGAAGTTGAGGTTGGGGGTAATGTTACAGCGAAGGGATGCGATTATTGCTTTAGAATGAGGGCTGCTGTTACTCCAAACCCAAGTTATTGTTGAAGTCCTACTTGAAGGACTATTTTGATACCGATTTCGGGTTTCGTTTTCTATTGGCCAGTTTCTCCGTAAATCCCGCTCTCAATATCCCGTGCGTTTTGCGACCCTGGTTGCTTTGTCTTGTCAGACCAAACGGCGTGTTACTCCACGTGTGCTCGTTGTGGCCGGATTGTGTTTGCGTTACTGACCTTTTCTCTTCTCTAAATGCTCAGCAGCCCGGTCGCCGCCTGGTCACCGCTTGCGGGCAAATGGTTTTTGGTTTTTTGTCGGAAGGCGTCAAGCGTCGCGTTCATGAAGGAGCTTTGCAAGCGAGGGAATATGCAAGCGCGAGGTCTGTGCCCCTCTGTGTGCACGGGGCTCACTGTATTACCAGCAGTAAACTTGACTTGCAAATGTAAGCGAATGTTAAATGGCCTTATGTTTACATTTATAAATCAATGCGCTACCTAAAGATGACGTTCTGGCTCTTGTTGGGGCTCTCGGAGATTTGGGCCGGGACAGCTGCATCGGTTGAGCAGCGTGGTTCCTGATCACAGGTTTCAGGAGTTCAATCGCTGTCGGGGTCAATTTAGCTTCTCAATCATTATTGTCGTCGCCACCATCGTCGTCGTGATTGTTGCTCTCATTGTTATCATTTCTCCTCTGGGTGGTCGGTGAAACTATTCCCATCAGATGGGGAGCACCACTTGGTGGTGGGGATTTTGCGTTTCAGAACCATAATGTTGGAATTTCCACCATTGGCTCATGGCCGGTCACAAAACGCGAGCACCACTAAATCCAGTTCACACTTCGACTTTATTCTGAGACTTCCCCTCCTCTGGTTACATGGTGTTCGGGGTTGTGGGCGGGGGGGGGGGAGGTGGCAGACAGCTACGGAGAAACGTTCTCGTGTTGGTGTTCTCAACAACGGGGCAGGACTCGCTTAGCTATATTTGCCAAGTGACATGAGGCCAGTCGTGATATCCACGGGGACTTTGTCCCAGTGTCGTGGGGGGTCGTCGCCTCCTCAACAATGCAGCTCTCATGCCTTTGGCCCCGGGCCAACAGGGCGGCCACGTGCGTGAACACTTGCCTCCGACGTGCCTTACATTTGCGGATAATCTGGATGCGGGTTGCTGTGGACACCAAGAGTGACGAGTGAACGGGTAGCGAAAAGGCCGTACTCGAACTTGACGATGAGAGGTAGCAGCAACAATCCGTTATGGGGTGGAGCGCAATAGCCAACCAGACGACCCTGCGCGCCACCCCTTCACCAACTCCCAATTGCAGGCAGTGTGGCGTAGCCTGGTCGGAATAGGCCCTAAATGGAATGAGGTTTCCCTGTCCCAATTTCTCCACCCTCCTCCGGCAGCGTGGGCTCCAGTGCAGGTGCACCGTTCGCACACCCACGATAGCTACGCCAATGTGATCAGCCACACCAGTAATACCTCTACCGTTGATCGACTTCTAAGTCCAATCTTTGGCGCTTTGTTGCAGCCCCACCGTTCAGTCTGTTCACTTTTGGTGTGCACGGCATTCGCCACTTACCCACACACACGAGTGTCTCCCACGAACGAATAACAGTTATTGTGTCTGTCCCGTCCGTCTGGGATTTGACCCGTGTGGTGTTGTTGTGACGATTGTGGATGCCTGTGGGAGCATTGCTTTGTTCCCTCCCAGTGTTGATGCAGTGTTACGTTTTGTCTTCCACCCCATTGTCTTTTTGATATCTCTGTAAAAGGATTACTTTGATTGGAAAAGCGCATTGCGTGTTTAGTGTGTTCAGTGTGTTCAGTAAAAAACGTGCACGTGTATCGTCACGTTCTATTTGTCCCTTCGTTATTTTGTTGAATGCAACAATGCGATTTGGATTCTTGAAGGAAAACAGAATGAGTGAGTGTAAGCATGTTGAACTTCTTTCGCACTGGTACATCGCCAACCGTGCTAATCGGAGGTGCGGGGGAAGAACGACAAGCTAAACACAAAAAGCAGTTCTGAAGAGTGGAACTTCCCATTCAGTGTGGAGGTTCAAAGAGTTAAATTCGTAGCCGGTGGTTCATCAAGCCTGTGCATCATCCTTCGGGGTCAATAAATGGCCTTCACTTCATGCAAAATCAACAGCGGTTGCCCAATGGACGAGCTCCAGTCATATAAATGGTGATTTTTTTACCACGGGGGTCACCAATGATGCTCATTTCAGCTGAGAAACCTCCCATTGCCCCCGCACCTCCGGTTAGCAGGGTTGGCTACGTACGGTGTGAACGAAGTTCAACAGACATCTCAACGGAACGAAACTAAATACTGGGCTCATTGGTGACTCTCTCCGTGAACGACACTGACGCGACCAGGGGCGGCCTTTGCTCCGCAAGAGAACGACAAAGGGGGGATGTGTAAACTAATGGTTTTGCAAGGAAGCGTGAAGTTTTTAAGCTTCTCCCATGTGTTCGACTTCGTCACCACACCCACCGGGTTCTCATCCGTGGTGAGACCATCGGACCAAAGATGACTGGGGCAACTCGTTGAGGTGGCTGGAGAGACACTCGAGGAACAAGCGGGGACAACGGCGCATCGTGCTCAGTGGCCGGTGGCGGAGATCGTTGACGAAGCTTCTGCGACGCTGCGACATGTGTTAGATGGCTCTCGGTGCCAGGTTTAGAATCTGTTGATTGGTTTTCTGGGCAAGGTACGCTTTTTACAATAACGTAGAGGTTGGCATTCATATGGTAGCACAGTGGAAATGGCGAAATTGGTCATGTTCCCTTGCAGTCTGGTGAAGTTGTGGAGTTAGGGGACTCCGTGGCTTTAAAGTCACGGTCACACGTTAACCCTCGTATGTGAAATTGTCCTCACTCAGCCGTTTGAGATGACTCTCGACTGTGATGGGTCTAAGATGTATGCGATGCTGTGGTATACCGTCAGTGCGTGTAGTGTGTGTCACGGATACCCTTAAAACAGCGTGTGATTAAAGAAAGGTTTTTAATTGTGTAAAAAGAACTGCTAAACTTGTCATTGTGGAGTGAGTCCAACTGAGTCGCAGACGTTGTCTTAGGAGCAACACTATTCAATAAATCAACATAACATAACGTAACCTACACTTGGGTGTTGAACGCCCATCTAGCCACGCTACGGCAGAACTAGACACAGTTCGCTATCCCGGCCCGGACCATGAGCTGGGTCCCGGACCGCGTGGCTAGAGGCTTATTTTACCCGACGTGGATCTTCATCACCAGCAACACGAAGAACCCCGAGCCCCTCACGGGCCCCCCCCGTTATATCGGCCTGGGCTGGGGCTGGCTCCGCCCCTCGCCCCGCCCACCTTCTAGATCTCTCGAGCCCTTTCCCGAAGGCTCCCCAAGAGCTCTTTTATACCACGTGACCGCCCGGCGGCCCCCGTCCACCGGTGGCCCCCCTCCATTATCATCTGGTGACGTGTCGGCAGGTCAACCAGCGTATCGTGCCCCAACGTAACCCTGGCTGGCTGACACTCCCTCTCGCTCCCTCACCGGGAGCCCGCACCGCACACTGTACGTGGTGTCTCCACGCAGACCAGCGCTCACCCAAGCCCCGCTCGGGCTGCTACTACGCCCTGTAAGCGGGCTACACATAATGCCAACACATTATCCGACGTGGCTTCGTAAGCCCGGCACCACACAGTGACATTCACAGTCACTACAATTGCACAACACTCCCCTGTTGTAGGTTTTAAATGACGTGTCTCCGATGGGAGTTTGATATGGATTCAAGTGTCATGTTTCAATGTGTATAAACAGACCATCAAGCCATTTGTGTTCATGTGGATGCGTGCCTCTTCATGATTGGACGCAGCCAAATGTTTTTTACCACTGTAACCATTCATCCCACTATACGCGAGTTATCTTATTATTTAACTTTTTTTTTCTACCAGGTAAGGCCCACTGAGCTATGTAGCTCTTTGTCAGAAGCGACCTGGCCACAAATGATAGCTGGACGAAGTGGTTTATCACGTGGAAAATTTAGCTCAATAGCCAAATAGTTTAAACGCATGACGTTGATTCTAATTGTGGAGGGAAAACTCGGGAGAACCCGGAAAAAATTCCACGCGTTCACGGTGAAAGAGACACGCAAACTCCAAATATACAGCAGGCGTCAGGGTCGGAATCGTACCTGCGATCTCCTACTTACCAGGCGAGGGAGATAACATGTCGCCACCATGTAAAGCAGTGGTAATATTCGTTACGTAATTTTGTACCTCTCGGGAAATGGGTCTTTTACTTTAAACCAGCTTAATTTCCCCTCGAGCTAGGTTTTTTTGGTAATGTTAACCGTTTTATTCTTGCTAGTAATTTGCTTTGTCCTCTCTTTGGCAGTGTGAAGTTTAAACACGTTCCATCGGAGTGGGCAGGTAGGAACTTGGTTGGACAGCGCGGCGTTCAGGTGGGGGGGGCAGTTGGATGAGTGGGCGTGTTGACGCTTCCCCCCCCACCCTCCCCGACATCGTCAACCAATCGCGGCGTAACTCGGTGTTCGGTGGGGAGGTGCATGGGTGGGCGGAATTCCGGATTTGCACGACAGACAGACAAATAATTCCCTGGTGGGCAGTGTGGAACCTATTGTTCCTACCTGTACTTGCATCTCACCAGCCTGTGAAGACTTCCTGTGTCGAATTTACCGAGGGCAGAGACATCGGACAGTATTTGTTGTATTCACTGCAGCGAAGCAATGCATTGTGTTGCTTATTACCCAGGGCATTGCTGGCCAGTGGCATTTCGCACCTGTGCTGTGGTCGTTGCAAGTTGTAGTGTTGTAACGCAACACTTCAACTTGCAACTGTGAGGGGGCCAGCAGCATACCACGTTTAAAACGATCTGAACATCTCGGTAAAAAAACACGTGTTCACACTCAGCATTATTAACGACGGTGAGATGTGGGTGGCCAACACCACGCCCAGCTGCCTTTGTCTCCCCAGTGGCGATGTTTTTATACACCGCACCAGGTACTCATTTGAGGCAGAGTCGACCTAGGGGAGGCCCAGGACCAGCTTCAAATAATCGTCACTGGTGTTGGTTGTGAGCGGGAATCGAACTCGGGTTTGCCGGGTTCGTAGCGCAGCGTGGCGCTGACCGATACACCACCGCTCCCCATGCACACACACACGCGCTGTAGTACACGTGTAGATAGGCCTCAGCAAGGTAAGGTTATTTACCCTTTACCATGTAAAAGGGTAAAGGTGTCGATATGCCAAGGGGTAAGGTAAAGGGTAGGGTAAAGGTAGCGCCAAGTATTACCCGGTAAATACGGTACCTTGTTTACCGCTAAAAGCTCCGTGACGCAGTCCGTGGCCTCCATTCAATAAGTAGTATTTTAAAAAACTTTTTTTTAAACACGCTTTTATTAAATGTACTCGTAATGGCAGAACTCCACGACTCCAGGAAGTGGCCCCGAAGCTTGCCACAACGTAAGGGAGCGTGGTGATTTACAGCCAACGTCAGTTGAGTGTGGACAATTAGACCCAAGCCGAAACATAACATATAAAAAAGATTGTTTAAAAATATTTTTTGATAGAATATAGTATTGTCATCAGTAAGACATAAGTATACCAAGTTTGCAGTCGATACCACATTGGGAAGTGGGTTAAAATTTAGTTACAAGATTTGAGGATACAACAACAATGACAACAAGCGTGTAAAATTTGAATCATCGAGAGTATTCTATATGAATAAAGCGCTCTACCTAGCATGTACCGTTGTAAACCTTTTTCATGTGTAGTAGTACCCCAGTAATTACCCTGTAATCGGGTAATTTCTATGGGGTAAGGGTAAAAGGTAGGCTCGTTTTTTTACCTTTTACCTTACCTGCTAAAGGGTAAAAGGTAGGGTTTAGTGATTGTATTGTGGTAAGGTAAAATGTAAGGTAAAGGTAGGCTTGTTTTTTTTACATTTTAACTTTTACCTTAACTTGCCGAGGCCTACGTGTAGAGGAGAGAAATACACGGTGCGCACAGTTAAGCGGGTGCCACTGAGGTCAAACAGGTGTGCGTGTTGAAACGTGAGGTTTGCACCGACAAACCGCGAATTATTAAGGGGAGAAGTGGGTGCAACCAAGGTCCAACAGGTGCTACGCTGTGACCAGAGGTTGGCGCCTAGGGGACGGGAGATGGGGGGTGATGATAACAGAGATTAATGGGGCAACTGGCGCCGGCCTGGCGGCAGCTTAAGTAGAAGCACGTGAGGGCTCGGGATGAGCAGGGAGATATAAGCGGAGTGTGTGGGAGCGAGGGTAGTTGTTGCCGGGAAGCAAGAGTGAAAACGACTCGCCGCTGCCGCTCCAGCCGTCAACGGGACATCAACCCTCACGCCGTCGCCAAACCCTCATGACTTACGCAGCTTGGGGGGGAACTTCATGCAAAAACGAACCGACAAAAGGGCTGTAAATTATTTCACTGTTAAAAAAAAATCATTTTGGGATTTTTTTGTTTTCTATTTACGTGACTTTACCGAAAGAACCAAGAATATGAATGTTTCATTTACTGTCAAGATCTGCATCAGAAACTTAAGTCAGGCCCACATTCGGAGGTTGTTCATTTTTGATGGGTGCAAGTCATCACAAATTAAAAGGGGAGCTTAAGTTGCAGGAAACTAATCTGGACACTGCCGGGGAGCTGGCAGCTCTTAATGAATTTGTAATAATCCTTCTGAGACGGCTTCGGAATCGGTCCTTTTTATTTCCACTTCCACAATACACTTTACTCACACACTCTACGTTGTTGGCAGACAACAGAGAGCGGGCAGACTTCACACCAAGTTCCCAC